AGCTCACAGAAGCTGCAATGGTCTCAGTTTGACTACTGCTGAGTTGCTGTACCTTCTTGTTCAACTGTTGTAGCCCTGGGGAAAGAAAGGGGTCTAACAAAACTTCGCTGAGGAGAGGATCTTTATCTGATGTAAGGCAGATGTTTAACCAGCATAGAAGAAATCTCGCCCAGGCGGCAGTCTCTACCTTGCGTTGATCTCCCTCTAGACACAAGGCTGCATAGGGTACACAGCGTGGGACAGTAAAAATCTTGAAGAGGAAAGCTGCCTGCACTCCTTCTACCAACTGGGTAAACCCTGGCAGCCAGACTGGAATAACATAGAGCAATTGAGCTATAATTTTGGCATTGAAGACCTTAAGGGCAGAAGGGACATGCAAATTACCGTATTTTTCGCTCTATAAGATGCACCACACCACAAGACGCACCTAGTTTTTGAAGGAGGAAAACAAGAAAAAAAATATTATGAATCTCAGAAGCTAGAACAGCAAGAGGGATCACTGCACAGTGAAAGCAGCAATCCCTCTTGCTGTTCTGGCTTCTGGGATAGCTGCGCAGCCTGCATTCGCTCCATAAGACGCACACACATTTCCCCTTACTTTTTAGGAGGGAAAAAGTGAGTCTTATAGAGCAAAAAATACGGTACCTCTTGTTATGAAAAAACGCATTACGGCCTGCATAGACATCTTACTGGCATTCACCGCCGTTGCACGGTGCGTGGACTAGAGCAGCCTATGATGGAATTTAATTCCCAGATAGTTGAATTCAAATACCTGCTGAAGGGTTTTCCACCAAATACCTAGCTACAGCTCTTGCGTGAATTCCCCCAAACCATTATTTTGCTTTTGTCAAAGTTCATGCACAATTTCATGATTTGTTTTGGATCTTTGTATGTGATGCCAATAAAAGGTTTGATGATGGTGATGACTACTGCTGGCTGATAACTTTTCCCTCTGTTCACTTCAGTTCACTTTAGTGTTTTGAGATGAAAGCACAAAATACATAAAATAAACAAACCAATGACAAACACCTCCCCCCCCCACAACAAACACATTTAAAAGGCCCTGTCCATGTGCATCAAACAACACCAGAGTAGGGTCAGGATAGATCAATCAAATTATTATTATTATTATTATTACTATTTAATATTTATACCCCGCCCATCTGGCTGAGTTTCCCCAGCCACTCTGGGCGGCTTCCAATCAATTGTTTTAAAAACAATGCAGCATTAAATATTAAAAACTTCCCTAAACAGGGCTGCCTTCAGATGTCTTTTAAAGAGAAGATAGCTGCTTATTTCCTTCACATCTGCTGGGAGGGCGTTCCACAGGGCGGGGGCCACTACCGAGAAGGCCTTCCGTCTGGTTCCCTGTAACCTCACTTCTCGCATGAGGGAACCGCCAGAAGGCCCTCGGCACTGGACCTCGGTGTCTGGGCTGAACAATGGGGGTGGAGACGCTCCTTCAGGTATACAGGACTGAGCCTCACAGCTCATACACGTTCTGATCACCCTTTCGGTTTTTAGTCTTGTGGTCCAGTACTTCCTGGGGGCTTGTTAGGGAGCAGCGCCAGGTCGCTCAAACCTGAGTCTTTTGTGTTGCATTCCAAATCTCTCTCTATTTTCTACTTTCCTCCTTGGTTTCAAACTTTAAAAATAAATAAAAATAATTACCTGCCTGCTTGGTGTGCTGCAAGGCACAGTGCTGATGAGACCCCACCCAATATTTTAATTTGCATATAAATTAGCATATATGAATTATATGCAAATTTGTGCCAACGTGGGCCTGTACTCTGAGTCTCCTAATTATCTAGCAATGTTCCTGAGTCCAGTGTTGCTGCAGTCTTCCTGGTGGCAAGAGATAGTTGCTCCTAGCGTTTGCCCTTCTTGGAGATTGAAACATAGAGGTAGGACAACAGTTCAGGCAAACAATTCAGACATCCTTCCTAGCTTTGCACAGTATGCTCTGACCACTGTAACACCACTGCTGCAGCTTCTCCCTTGGTTTTACCTTGCCCCTGCTGCCACTTCTCAACTCTCAGATCCATACCTGCAGAATCCTGTGTTGGAATCCATTGCTGCCACCCACCTCACAGCATGCAGAAGGGGCTCAAGAACTGCCCATCCATTCTGGAAGCTGAGATGGCCTGCTGTCCACTTGAGATATATTTGATTCCCCTTAGATGGTTTATCATGAGGGATGGAGAGAAGGTGGCAGATTATTTAGAGCAGGGGTCAGCAACCTTTTTCATCCCTCAGACCATTTTTTGGGGGGAAATTGAACAAATTCCTATGCCCCACAAACAACCCAGAAATGCATTTTAAATAAAAGGACACATTCTACTCATGTAAAAACACTCTGATTCCCGGACCGTCTGCAGGGCAGACTGAGAAGGGGATTGGGCCGCATCTGGCCCCCGGGCCTTAGGTTGCCTACCCCTGATTTAGAGCATGAACCTTCAGGATGCATTATGCGCATCCCAGCATTCCCTGGCCAGGATTTCCCCAACATCTCTAGTTACAACTAATTGACAGCAGAGGGAGCGCAAGTGTAGTTAAGGCTTTTACAGCTGCTTTCTCCTCCTGTACAAGCATCCTCCTCTGGCGATTAAGACCCTTGGGATGGATTCTGATCCAAGCTCTATCTCATGCGGAGCCCGGAAGGGCCATGATGGACCTAATCCAGCACCCCTCTTTCCTCAGTGACCAACCAGATGACACTGCAAAGCCCAAAGCAGTAGTAACTCAGTGCAGCAGTCCTTTTCCTGCTTCTTTTCCCCTGCGACTGGTATCCAGAGGCATGGAGGAAATATATATTGTTACAAAAGTTGGGTGCCTGCCCCTTTCTCTGTTGAGTGGTGGAAAGAGCCAGGTGGGGTCTGTGCTCCATGGAGAATTGCAGACATGGCAGAGACTGTTGTGACCTTAAGAAATATGGTTTGTTCGCCCATTTACACCTTCAGTCTGCATGGAGGGAGTCCAGCTCTTGCAGCATAGTCGTTTCAAGAGGTGCTTGTACCCCACAGAGTCCAAGACATCTCTGCCGTTAGCCCTGCAGCCAGCCTCTCCCAAAGATGGATTTCAGCTCTTCTTCCTCCTTCTTCCTCCCAGGACCGCTAGACCCCTGTGGAGCAGTTAACCCTGGCAACCTTCCAAATCCCCATCTCTGTTAACACCTGGGGCAAGGGGGAAGGAGTTCTCTTGTATTGTTAAAGGTAAAGGGACCCCTGACCGTTAAGTCCAGTCGCGGACGACTCTGGGGTTGCGGCGCTCATCTCGCTTTACTGGCCGAGGGAGCTGGCATTGGTCCACAGACAGCTTCCAGGTCATGTGGCCAACATGACTAAGCCGCTTCTGGCGAACCAGAGCAGTGCACGGAAACGCCGTTTACCTTCCCTCCAGAGCAGTACCTATTTATCTACTTGCACTTTGACGTGCTTTCGTACTGCTAGGTGGGCAGGAGCAACAGGAGCACACCCCGTAGCGGGGATTTGAACCGCCGACCTTCTGATCAGCAAGCCTGATAGCCGTAGCTCAGCAAGGTTGTTTTGCATAAGCCAGCCCAGGAATTCCTTTGCAGCTTGCATTCTCCCTTCATATCACAAATAACCAAAATTCTAGCATTTATTAATTTCTAGGTTTAGGGGGTTATCCCCCGCCTAAATCTATAACAATATATTCATCATGGCTAGTAGCCACTGAGAGCCTTAACCTCCACAGATTTGTTTAAACCCTTTCCCACAAGCACATTTAAAAGGGGAAGGGTTGATAACACTGGGCAACATTTTTTTTTACTTTTTGAATGTTGTCTAGATTTCTACAACTGATTTAGGGTATTTTTGCACTGCTGAATCAGGAAATGGCATCCGTTTCTCTCCATCAGGTCAGGTTTTTGTGCAATGTTGATTTGAAAAAAATCAGATCTTGTGACAAAATCGATTACATTTTTGTGGCATTATCAGCTGATTTTTGTCAACACATATCATCCTAAATATGTTTTTAAGAGAAAAAAATGTTTTTCCAACAACATATATTGATTACCTGATAGAAACATCGATTACTGTAAACTGAATGGTGGGCATTGATAAAGGTAAGTACACATAAATTGCATGTTGCTTCACCATTTTTCAAACTTCAGGGCTTGAACTTCCATTTCTTGGAACTCCTGGAATGCTCAGCAGCAGGGAGGTCTCTCATCAGAGTCCAACAGTAGTCAGCCATCATGACTGCGTCCCAGCAACCCTGATACCTGGTCTCCATCTCTTTCATGTCCTGATGGAATCTCTCCCCCTGCTCGTCACTCATTGAACCCAGGTTCTCAGGAAACCGGTCCATATGTGAAAATAGGTAGTGCATCTTGACGCTCATGTTGCAGCCCAGGTTTCTGAAAGCAGTCAGCATGTTGTTGACAAGTTCTGCGTAGTTTCTGGCCTTATTGTTGCCAAGAAAGTTCTTCACTACCAGAACAAATGCCTTCCACGCTTCCAGTTCCACTTCGTTCATTGAGTTTCCGAACTCTGGATCTCTGATGAGCTGACGGATCTGAAGGACCGTCAAAGATGCCAGCTTTCAACTTCTCCATGGTCAATCCTGGAAAAGCCTGGCACAAGTAAGTGAAGCAGTCACCATCCTTGTCCAGAGCCTTGGTGAACTGCTTGTTTAAGCCGAGCTTGATGTGCAGCGGTGGGAAGAGTATTCTTTCTCTGTCCACCAGAGGGTCGTTGATGACGTTCCTTTTTTTGCAAGGCACCAATTCCTCCCGCACAGGCCAGTCCTTCTTCGTGTAACGCTGAGCACGGTCCCTACTATCCCACATGGACAGAAAACATGGGTACTTGGTGAAGCCAGACTGTTGTCCCAACAAAAAGTTCACCATCTTCAGGTCAACACAAATAAACCACTTATGCTGATCATAACCAATTTTCTCCAGCACATACTTCACCACTTCATAGTTCTCCTTCAGACCTGAACTGTAGAGAAATCATGGGACATACATGCATGTGTGAACCAAATTTAAGAATATGCATCAGTATTTATTAGGCTTTAATCATACAATCATATACATACTTACTTGGAAGTAAGTTGGATCTAGTTATGAGCAGGCATGCATAGATTTCAGTCTTAGGATACCTGTACATCTGGATTGCAGATGGCTAAAAAGCTGTACATTTAACCAAAATAAACAAGCGTAAAAATGTATTTGAGCCAATAAAATCATTTTTGTGACATGAACAATCCCAAGCTTTTCTCTTTAATACAAATTATCACTCACAGAAAGCAGATATTTCCAGACCCCCATGTTACAAGCTAAAATATTTTGAATATCAAAATGGGATGTTTAGCACAGGTTTAAAGAAAGTTGCTGGGGTTTGGGGTGGTTGCTTTTTTAAAAGCTTCCTTGTCCCCATTTTTCTGCTGGACCAGAACAGTGCCTAACTGTTTAACTTGTGGTTAAGGATTATTTGTGTAGGGCACTTCTGTAGGTAAAGTGTCATGTATTTGGCTAGGCGCCCACAGAACACTGTGCAGGATCTCTGGTTACAAATTGCAGCTGTATAACATAACAGGAAATGTCGGGCTTGAAGTTATTCCACTGGAAAGATTAATTATTTGGAAAAATAGCTACGCAGCAGCCTGATGTATTTCTGGAGCAAAGGCAAGTGACACCATTTTATAAATGCGTAAGACAATAGAACCATTTTGGAAAGCACACTTTAAACGCTACCGACTTTTCTCTTCTGCGGCAATGTGCGTCGGGTTAGAGCTATCTGTTACTTATTCTCAGAATTTAATTGGAGGCAGAACTCACCCAGACTCAACCCAGAAGTTATTTTCCATGAGAGAGCACAGTCCTGGAACACGTGAAATAGCAATTAAGAAGATGGTGCATCTGTGAATGGGCAGTGCCACTCCCCATGGAGGAACTACTGCCAACCACCATTCTTCTGAGCCCTGGGAGCAGGAATATTATTTCAGAATATATACCAAGCTACCAATTTCGATGCTAACATTGCTTTTATGAATTTAAGGACTGATAACACCAGCGTCATGCCCAAATACGTAACTGCCCTGCCCTGGAAGTGAATTGTATACAGCATGGACTGCACTAGTCAGATAATTCATCCCCAAAGACATAGGGGCACCAAGCTTTGCTCAGTGGCTGTTCTTCGTGTATATACTGTCTGCAGTGAGGTAGGGAAAAAAATTGCAAGTGTCTGTAACCTTTTACCTTTTATTCAACATTCTACAGGTTGTTTGGGTGCTAACTACAAAAAAACCCTTCCTTCAATTAGTTTTAAAGAGGGGAAATGGTATATTGACATGTAAGATGACACTGAATCTCAACATGTCACATAATTGTGACATAACAGGACCTCTCCCTGGATACAAATTAGTAAGCATTTTACATAGTTTTGCATGAAACAGAATAGTTCAGTTTAGAGATCTTCCCTTCCCTGAATCATGCCCATTTTATTTCACAGGAGACAACACTTTATTGCTCTGACAAGAATCATCCAGAGCTGTGAAGTAAATGTTCAATGTGAAGCAAGTTCATCTGCATCCATTTTAGAGCTGTTTAAGAGGAGGCCGTTGTGGGGCAGAGTCCAAAACATGCCTGCGATCAGGATTCCTTTTGCGTTTGTGTGTGTTCCCAAAGGGAATGTGGTTTGGATGAGGTAGGGGCAGGCAGAGCTATTTTAAAACCAGCACAACATGCCACTTAATAAAACTTTTCCACCCAGAAGTCACTGAACTGAAATCCACTTTAGGAGCAAAACGTTACTGTACCATTAATGCATTTGCCTGAGGCTCTGATCAACAGCTGCCAGCCAAGGTGTTCTTGAACTACTGTTCCTGCTAAAAGGAAATCCCCACTAGAGAAACATCTGCAACCATCTATTTTGTGTGGATTTTGGACGTACTCAGGAGAAGTTTGGCATTAAAATCTACCAAAAGGAAAGAAAAAAGAGAGAATAGATGTTTTCATTTTCCACTGTGGAAAGCTTAGCTGGTTTTCCATAATAATAATAATAATAATAATAATAATAATAATACAGTGGTACCTCGGGTTAAGACTTAATTCACGTTCTGGAGGTCTGTTCGTAACATGAAACTGTTCTTAACCTGAAGCACCACTTTAGCTAATGGGGCCTCCTGCGCCGCTGCACTGCCGCCGCACGATTTCTGTTCTTAACCTGAAGCAAAGTTCTTAACCCGAGTAATATTTCTGGGTTAGCGGAATCTGTAACCTGAAGCGGTGTAACCTGAAGCGTATGTAACCCGAGGTACCACTGTAATAATAATTAATTGAAATGTCCCTTTTCCTTGCTTTTTCCTATGCAGTTCATCAAATAAAGGGCCTGTTTTTTCCTTACTTGCTGAGCCATAGGTTAAATATCTTAGGCTTTTATGCCTTTTTCTAGAGGAAAAATGAACACAGTAGGTGAATGGTTTTCTTGGTCTGGGAAGGAAGAATTCTCCATCTTTTGGATAGGGTTGCACTAAATCCTGAAATGATTGAGAAGACTCCTTAATCTAGCACTGTCACTTAAGGTACAGGTATCTCCAGGGATGAAAAATGCTCACCCCACCCTCCCCAGTTTAGGATGAGACATCAGCTGCAACATCTTCTGGGCAGGAAAGGGTCTTGGTTAATGATATATTCTTCTCTTGGCCAGCACTCTGTCGACTGTGCTGCACTGCCTCTCTAAAGAATTAACAACCACAAATTCAAAATGAAACTACATATTAGAAATGGGCATTCCATTATATAAATGGGACTGCAGCAGACCATCTCTAAATAAATACATAAGCTTTCATGCTTGAGGCAGAAAATCCATGTATCACCAACTCACAGCAAAAACAATAATTAAATATCCTTTATTAGTTTTCATAAATCAAGTAACTAACAATTTGTTGCCTCAAGATTCTTATATAAGCAAATCTCAAAAACAAAACCGGTATAAGGTATGTGCAAACACATCAATTTCCCCTCCCCCAACTGCAAATTTGTGGGATATGAGTACTTGAGCTAGCTTCTCTCAGACTCAGGAAAGCATTCACAATTATGAAGAAACATTAATGTGCTTTTAATGAAGTGATCACGAGAGTCGAGCTTGCAACTATATGACGATGATGCTTGGAATCGCGCCCCAAAGATGGCAGATGTGACTCAGATCTTCCGGGTTAACACTGAAGCCAAAAGCAAACAGGTGTTCTGAAGGTCAAGTCTTGTCCTTCTCTGCCTGTGTTAACAGAGTATGGCTCCAAGGCCGCTAGGACATTGATTTTTAGACTGTGCCAAAGTGCCGTGTGTTGACTGCAACAGGAAATTAATTTCTGTAATTTATTATCTATATCCAGGGTGCCAATCAAAGCTACATGGTTGAACAGGTGGCATATGTCTTGATGGATGGAGTATGCATGCACATTCAACTGCCTAATGGCGTCCACATCACCCAGAAGATTGTAGCCACAGGAATAAGAAAAGTTGTTCCGTTATCTAGAAAGGTCACTTCCTGGTTCACATGGAGAAGCCATTTTCAACAGAGCCCAGCGACGGAAGCACACAGCTACATTGAGGCAGCACCGGGTGTTTAAATTTTGCTCCCATAACAATTTTGCACCCAGGGTAACCACTGCTGCCTCCCATGTTGTGATTGGTGGGAAGGTACCACTTGCACAGAAGGTACCAAGAGTGAAAGATAACCTGGCAGTCATGGTTCTTTTGCCTGCTATGTTCATTGGAAGCAGCAAGCTAGATGGTTTGTGGAGCATAGAGTACTAATGAACAAGCAGCTATTGCCATAAAAATTCAAGCTTGCTTCAAGAGCATGAGGGACTTCCAGATGGGTGATTATTTTAAGGCTGGTGCTCCTAACGCATGGAAGCTCTACCCCCAGCACCCACATGACATCACTGGCGCAAGCCCATATTTCCAATGGCAGATTTAGGGCTCTGCAAGAGGTGAGCACGCACTGGGCTCTGAGCAGAGGAGGTGCAGTCTCAAAACCTAGTAAGCAAGGTGCTGGGCATTGGGAAGGAGGTGAAGGCAGTGGCAGGTTCCTAGAGTCCTCCCACCTAGTTACTGCCTTCCCACCTTTGGGCAGGCAGTGAGGGCTCAGGGGGGGCACCAAATTCTGACGTTGCACAGGGCGCCATAGTACCCTTGTCTGACACTGATACTTCCCCCTCTACTTAATCCAAGCTTGCATTTTCCAGAGAAAATTCAGTAACTTGAAAAACAACCACCACCAGTTCTTGAGGACTTGTTTGTGATAGCTGAATGACCCCTCTGGAAACACCCAGTGAAGAATGAAGGAACTTTAAAACTGCAAGAACAGGCCCTCCATCCTTCTTTGGCCTGCCTTCTCTGCATTTGCCGCTCTGCTAAGGCAGTGCAGTGCATTTCCACAACACACTGTCAACACAATCTTTCATGCACAGCTCCTTCTGGGTTCTGCTTTGAAGAACTGGGCTCCTCCACGTTTAAGAATTGTCCCTCCAGTAGTTATTCGACTGTAGGCAAGGCAACTGTGCAGAACCAGGTTGTGGCGCTGCTCAGTACGTCAGCGGGTGATATCCAACAATGACTGTCTGCTGGCAGAAGGGAAGCTCTTGGTGGAGTCTTCTCTCCCCTAGCAGGACGCCATGCTCCAGGGGGACCCACCAATCCTCTGGAGTAGATTTAAAGGGTGGGGTGACACTGCCGGGTGAAGGAGGGATGGCCAAAAATTGCTTCCCTCCCCGTTATGTTGGCATATTCCCTTCAATCAGCAGGCTGAATATTGTCAGGTGTAGCTTCTCATGCAGGAATTAAAAAAGCAGCACCTGCCTAAACTCTCAGTTCTAACCGGTGATTAGGCTAGACTAAATGGCCTTTGCGTTCTTTTATAGTGGAGATGCTAAACAGAAAATCAAAAACCTGGCTTTGGTCTTTCCGCTGAACTGCTGTACAGTGAGGCTGAAGTCACATCCACACCACACATTTAAAGCAAATCCAATACGCATTTAAAGAACATGACTTCCCACAAAGTGGAATACACAATGTGACACTAGATGGCGATGGTATTTTTTCAATGTATTTTTTAAAATGCTTTTTTTAAAAGAAGCATTTTCAGAAGGTTTTTTGTATGTGTGTAGATTCCACCCCGGGACACGGGTGGCGCTGTGGGTAAAAGCCTCAGCGCCTAGGGCTTGCCGATCGAAAGGTCGGCGGTTCGAATCCCCGCGGCGGGGTGCGCTCCCGTTGCTTGGTCCCAGCGCCTGCCAACCTAGCAGTTCGAAAGCACCCCCGGGGTGCAAGTAGATAAATAGGGACCGCTTACTAGCGGGAAGGTAAACGGCGTTTCCGTGTGCGGCTCTGGCTCGCCAGATGCAGCGATGTCACACTGGCCACGTGACCCGGAAGTGTCTGCGGACAGCGCTGGCCCCCGGCTTCTTGAGTGAGATGGGCGCACAACCCTAGAGTCTGTCAAGACTGGCCCGTATGGGCAGGGGTACCTTTACCTTTACCTTCCACCCCAGTATCAGAGAAATCATTCAAAGAAACCCAAACAGTGATAGCCTAATGATCCCAGCAACTCTTCCTGGTAGGTCTTGCTCAGGAGTCAGCAAGGTTTACCTCGCCTGGGCCGCTTCACTCCAGCGGAGATCCCTCCATGGGCCGGATCGTGTGTGCACCCGTGATTTTCGGCGTCTGCGCAAACGCGATTTCAGTGCCACAGAAGCGAGTCCCCGTGCCACACCGGTTTAGTGCAGCACGTGGGGATTCACCAAGCGAGCGGCTCGTGGGCCAGTTCAATGACCCCTGTGGGCCACTTGTGGCCCATGAGCCTTAGGTTGCTGACCCCTGGACTTGCTCCAGTGAGGCCGTTGTGAGGACTGAAGATCCCTGCCTTTCCACCGCTCTCTAAGACTCCTTTGTCTTGTCTCTCTTTGCTCCACCCTCTTCATTTCTCTGCATGTTCTAGGAGACCAGGGTGGAGAGGAGCTGGTCACAGCAGGAGGGGGAGACTCCCTGGATTCTTCAGCAGCCAACCCCGACTCCTTTCCAACCTCCACTTCAGCCTCTAATTCCGGACTGCTCTCTGCCACAGCCTCTTCCTGTTAAACCCTGTTATGTCTTCTGCTTCCGAAACCCCTTCCTCCCAGTCAGCTCCCTCTTCTCCCTCTGACCACTCACTGTTGTCCCACCACCAACCCCCTGGCTCTGAGACTTCTTCCCCTGGGGGTTCCCATTTGGTGCCCCCTGCCACTGTTCTGCATCCAGCCAATCCACGACAGAATGCAGCAGGACGTGCTTAGACTCCACCCACACAGGGTGTAGCAACGCTATATCCGCCCAGCAAGACTTAGCTCAGAGATAGGATGAAACTGAAGATACTAACAGATGCATTTTGGAGAGTTAAAGAGTCAGTGATTAGGTAGATGTTCCTGCATTGATATCTAGAACCTGGAATTTCCTAGGTCCTTGGAAAGCTAAGCTCAGCTCTGTGCTCCATGCACCCTGCGTTACCCCTCCCCCAGCCTGCATCAATTAGAATGAAGTTCTGTCAGCATCAGAGCTGAATCTCGTAAGATCGCAGAGATCACTTCTCAGCTGGACATGAAAATTCATTGCACAGTTCATCCAGAAATGGCAACAACCAGTTTGATGAAGAGTCACAACAGCTTCCTGAACGAAGTAGAATGAAATGGCTTAGCAATCAAACGTGTCTGTTCACATCAAGCCCTTCTCTCCCAGCGACAGTGTCATTTGTATTTGCCAAAGCATCCTATAGTTCTTTGGCAACCAAACAGCTGCATGCATGTAGAAGATCTACCACTAAGCTGATAGCAGTCAAGCGCTCGGCACTGGTGAATATGCATCCCACACAGCAGTCAACCCATCTAGTTTTGTGAGCAAGATTTCAATTTATTTATTAACAAGCGTTCAAACCCGCTTTATTCAAACTTTGACAGAAAACATTTTGCAGCGTTTAAAAAGAAAAAGAGGTTCACTCTTTTCACTCTTTCTGCGTCTCTCCCTCCATCCCTGCTCTGCTGCCCTGGAATTCACAGTTGGTTTAGAAAAGGACCTGTGTGTATTTGCTCTGGTTTCTGACAGGATTTTTCATTCCCTAGTTTTTGGCAGGGATCAGGCCTGAGGCGAACTTGCTTTCCCTCCATGTCCGGCTGGAGATAAAGCGTTTTTTCCTCCCCTCCAATAATGTTCGCGTTTCTGATGCGAAATGAGAGAATAAGGCGGGAAGAGATAAAATAGACGGCAGAATATCAGCAGGACACGGAAGGCGCTGGCCTGAGGCCCTTCAGAGGTTTTGGGTGCATGGGAAATGTAGTCCAAAATGTTCGGAGGGGCCCAGGTTGACAAGAGCCATGCTAGAGCTCTTGGGGGGGGGGCGCAAGCATGGCAGTGAGCAGAGGGGACATCCATTGGCAACAAGAGCAGTTAAGATAAAACTTCATGTTTAAAAAACCAAGCAAACTCTAAAGCAGTGTTTCCCAAACTTTGGGTCTCCAGCCGCCCTTGGACCACAATTCCCATCATTCCTAGTTAGCAAGACCAGCGGTCAGGGATGATGGGAGTTGTAGTCTGAAAACAGCTGGAGGCCCAAGCCTGGGAAACACAGCTCCAAAGCCACATCTGCGTTATGCATTTAAAGCAGTATCGTAACCACTCTAAGCACTCGTTGTTTCCCCTCAAAGAATCAAAGAACTGTAGCTTGTTAGGGATGCTGAGAATTGGTAGGCGCGCCCCCCTACTTCTTAAGAGAGAGGTTTAGCAATCCATCCCTCTTCGCAGGGAACTCTGGGAATTGTCGCTCTGTGCACCCCTAAACTACAGCTCCCGGGTCTCTTGGAGGGGGGCTAGTTAAAAGCGGCATGATACTGCTTTAAACACACAGTGCTGGTGAGGCCTAAGTAAAAAAATTGTGAGAGCAACTTCGGCAAAGCTCCACTGACTTTCCATGAGAACAATTTTAAAAGCAAGGGGGGGGGGAATCGTGGCTGCCCACAACCATCAGCTCCAGCCAGCATCACCAATGGTCAGGGCCGACAGCAGCTGTGCAACATTTGGAGGGGTCACAGGTCAAGCGTCTCCCTCGCTGGAGTCAAAACAGGGCTTTAAAAGCAATTCACTTGGAGCTGAACAGAACCCCTTTCTTATTCTGCCCCCTTCCGCATATGACAACCCAACACTCCCACCCCATCATGCCCCACATTAAGTCACCTCAGGGAGCAGCTGGGGCAGGAAGCAGGCGGAAAAAAGGAGGGAGCCAAAGAGCTGAGGCCGTGCTGCCCCCCTGACAGGGGCTTTTAGGTCCAAGCCAGCCGCTCCCAGCCTGAAGGAGGTCCCTGAGCACGTCGCAGTTTCTGGGATGCTCCGGGTTGCCTTTTCGCTGCTCCCTCGGAGGCAGGATGCTAGCCCAAGCCGCCATGAATGCCCCGGATCCGCCGAGCCAGTTGTATGTCCTTGGGGTGGAGGGTGACCCTCTTGGCATGGATGGTACAGAGGTAGGCATCCTCCAACAGGAAGACGAGAAACGCTTCGGCGGCCTGGAGGGGAGAGCAAAGGAGGATGGGGAGAGAAGAGAGAGCAAGTGGGAAGGGTGCAGGCAGTTGGCAGAGCCCCCATTCCCCCTCCCCATGCTGTTTAACATCTACGTGAAACCGACAAGATTAATAATATATATATTTTTAATACCCCGCCCTCCCCAGCCAAGACTGGGCTCAGGGCAGCTAACAACCAATAATAAAAACAAGTTGATTAAAATACAATTTAAATGATTAAGATACAACATTAAAACATTAGGATGCAGCCTCTTCACAGGAGAAAGGAAAAAGAAAGAGGGGGAGGGAATCAAACTGATTCTAAGCCAAAGGCCAGATGGAACAATCAGATCCCGCAGGGCCGTGGTCGAGGGAGAGCATTCCACCAGGCCGGAGCCAGAGCTGAAAAGGCCCTGGCTCTGTTTGAGGCTAATCTAACTTCCTTAGGGTCCGGAACCTCTAGGGTGTTACTATATATGGACCTTGAGGTCCTCCGTGGGGCATACCGGGAGAGGTGGCCCCGTAGGTATGAGGGTCCTAGGCTGTGAAGGGCTTTAAAGGTCAAAACCAGCACCCTGTACTCCACCGGGAGCCAGTGGAGCTGGAAAAGCACTGTGTGAATGTGATCCCGCAGTGAGGACCCCATATGGAGTCTCGCCGCGGCATTCTTGCCCCCCCCCCCACAAACAGCTGCCAAATGTCTGCAGGGGGGAGGGGCCCTGCCCTAAATCGTTTGCAGGGTTTTAAAATGCTGGACACATAGTGGGAGATTTTACTTTCTTGGGCTCCATGATCACTGCAGATGGTGACAGCAGCCACAAAATTAAAAGACGCCTGCTTCTTGGGAGAAAAGCAATGACAAACCTAGACAGCATCTTAAAAAGCAGCGACATCACCTTGCCAACAAAGGTCCGTATAGCTAAAGCTATGGTTTTCCCAGTAGTGATGTATGGAAGTGAGAGCTGGACCATAAAGAAGGCTGATCGCCAAAGAATTGATGCTTTTGAATTCTGGTGCTGGAGGAGACTCTTGAGAGTCCCATGGACTGCAAGAAGATCAAACCTCTCCATTCTGAAGGAAATCAGCCCTGAGTGCTCACTGGAAGGACAGATTGTGAAGCTGAGGCTCCAGTACTTTGGCCACCTCATGAGAAGGGAAGACTCCCTGGAAAAGATCCTGATGTTGGGAAAGAAGGGCACAAGGAGAAGGGGACGACAGAGGGTGAGATGGTTGGACAGTGTTCTTGAAGCTAACAGCATGAGTTTGACCAAACTGCGGGAGGCAGTGGAAGACAGGAGTGCCTGGCGTGCTCTGGTCCATGGGGTCACGAAGAGTCGGACATAACTAAATGACTAAACAACAACAACAACAACAAGGTTGCAGGAAAGAAGTGAGAGAAGGCGTGCTTTCTTTGGGCATCATGCCTTTATGAGACTAGAATTCCCCTGGGTTCTTTGCGGCATCTCACAGTGATTTAAACATCTTCCAATCCGCTTTAAATGTATAGCAGAGATGTATACGACTAAACAACAACAAGAAGGGCCAGCTCCCTTTGCCCCCAGTCCGTAGGGAGGGTCTGCTGTGGGGAAGGGAGCCTTCTGTTCTCATGCAAATGCCATCCCTGCAGAAAGGAGATCCGAGAGGCCGGCCAAGAGGAAGCCAGCCTGCCCCTCTCTCCCTCCCCCCACCAGATCTCCGCCCTTACCTCCTGCAGGGCGAGCAGCGCCATGGCCTGCCATTGCATGTCGACCCCCCGCGTGTAATCCAGGCAGATCTCGCGCACCACGCGGGCGAAGGGCAGCTTCCGGATGAGGAGGTTGGTGGACTTCTGGTACTTGCGAATCTCCAGCAGGGCTCGCTGGCCGGGGCGGAACCTTCTCCGGCGGGGGCGCGGCGCCTGGTCCGCGGGGGGCGCCCGGCGAGGCGAGGCGGGGGGCGCCCGCTGCCTGCGCGGAGAGGCGCCGCGGCGTCTCCCCCGGCGGGATGGCGGGGTGGAGGGGGCCCTCCGGGAGGGCGGGGTGGAGGGGGTTCTCCCCGACCGCCTCATGGCTCCTCCGGCAGCGGCGGCGGCGGCTCTGGACACCCTCCTCGCCTCCCCCGTTTGAATTCCCGGGCTCCAGCCCCCGCCCCGCCCCGGGAAGGCCGCCCGCCAATCCGCTGCGCGAACGCCGCCGTTCGAATCATCACAGCCAATCGGATGGAGCGGGGGGAGGCGCCTGGGGCGGGAAGTAGGAAGCGCGGCGCGATCCAGAAGAAAATAGTCAATGGGGGGGGGGAGGAGCGGGGGCGGGGGAAGTGGGCGGGAGGTTTGGCAACGTCCCGGCAAGCGATTGGTTAATGTTGGAGAGAAAGGCAGGAGGTTAGTCCAATAGAAGCTGAGTAAACAAGAACAAACAAACAAAGATTTAGACTTAAAAGGCAGGTTTTCAGTGGCGCCTCAAGGCATTTTCGGAGCTCTTCTGCAATAAATGTACATTTATTGAATTAAAGCCACTTGATGCTGCTATTTGATTGATTGATTGATTGATTGATTGATTGACTGATGAAAGATAGAAAGGGCTGTGACCCATATCGCAGGTTGCCTCCCAGTTTCAAAAAGCCTTTTCAGGTATTGATGCAGAGCTGGCATTTTGGCTCCTGGGATGAATCACAAAATGGCACACAGGCCTTCCGGAGAAGACCAAGGAGTCAGGAACAAGGAGTGGAATAAAGAGCTCCATCAGGAATGGGGGTGGGGGGCAAGGAGTGAAGATCTACATCAGGAACAAGGTCTGGGGTGTCAAATCAACCTTACCTGAAGGTTGAAGTGGGGCCCCACTCCAAATCACACTGGGTGGGTGCAGATGCCAGGATAACGCCCCGACCTGGCCACAGTGATCCATGCGGCGGTCATCTCCAGGCTTGACTACTGTAATTCACTCTACGCGGGGCTGCCCTTGAAGCTGTCCCAGAAACTCCAGCGGGTGCAGAATGCTGCAGCGAGGCTCCTCAGGGGGTCTCTGCCATGGGAGCAGATTCACCCAGTGCTTTTCAAGCTGCACTGGCTCCCAGTGGAGTACAGGGTCAGATTTAAGGTGCTGCTTTTGACCATTAAAGCCCTTCACGGCCTAGGACCCTCGTACCTACGGGACCGCCTCTCCCGGTATGCCCCACGGAGAGCCTCAGGGTCCATATATAGCAACACCCTAGTGGTCCCAGGCTCTAAGGAAGTTAGATTGGCTTCAACCAGAGCCAGGGCCTTTTCAGCTCTGGCTCCGGCCTGGTGGAACGCTCTGTCTCCTGAGACCAGGGCCCTGCAGGATCGGATTTCTTTCCGCAGGGCCTGTAAGACAGAGTTGTTCCACCTGGCCTTTGGCTTGGAGCCAATTTGATTCCCTCCCTCCCTCTTTCTTTTTTCTTTTCCTTCTCCTCCTGCGATGAGGCTACATTTTATTATTTTAATGTTTCAATATTTTAATGTATTTTAATTTTGTTTTTAAGTTGTAATCATTCAACTTGTTTTTATTATTGCTTGTAAGCCGCTCTGAGCCCGGCCTTGGCTGTGGAGGACAGGGTATAAATAAAAATTATTATTATTATTATTACTATATTTCTGGGGTCAGCAAATGTTTTCAGCAGGGGGCCGGTCCACTGTCCCTCAGACCTTGTGGGGGGGGCCAGACTATATTGGGGGGGGGATTAACGAATTCCTATGCCCCACAAATAACCCAGAGATGCATTTTAAATAAAAGCACCCATTCTATTCATGTAAAACCAAGCTGATTCCCGGACCGTCCACAGGCCGGATTTAGAAGGCGATTGAGCTGGATCCGGCCCCAGGGCCTTAGTTTGCCTACCCATGCAATATTTCCTCCTAGCTGGGAGACCAACATTGCCTTACCAAGAGGCTGATGTAGAGGCAGCAGATCCAGCCTCCGAGGCGTGTGCCATAGCAGTTGCTGCTGCCATAGAAGCCACCGATTCATTCCTTGAAGGCCGAATCTGCTGGCCCTGTGGATCCTGCTGCTAATCTTGCCTCATAGGCCGGCCATTTCTTGGTAGCTGCTGGGTATGTCTCCCAAATCTGCAAAGCCTTAGTGAACCTGCTTGAACTCTTTTTTGTCAAACCGAAGCCTTAATACTTAGCAGCAATGGTTGACGATAGATCAATATGATGTGTAGCCTATTATTCTCAGGCTTGACAGGAACATTTGCCTGGTCCATTAACAAGGCTTGCAAACACGGGGGACCTGCAGCCTGGCGTTCCTCAAACGTGTCTGGGTCCTTGATGCCCCCTTTAAAGCCCTGATTCAGAAAATAACTGTGGATGTTGAAAAAAGGGAACAGGTTGAGAGTTGGGGCTACTTAAGGAATTAACCCTGGTAATAATTGCAAAGATAGTCTGTCAAACGTTTGAAACTGCAAAAGACAGCACCTGCCCCAGGCCCTGATCCCTTGGGCAGCAGGAGACAGGCGGTTTAGTTTTGTAAAGTAAAAAGCCCCAAGCATGTCCTGATTTCAAGGCTGCACAAAAACCCATCGCTCCGTGGACCTTTCTTTACAAAAGGAGGGAGCAATCAGGAGACACCCTGCGGGGTGAAGTAGGGGAAATCCAGCTGATGCTCAGGAGTTTTGAGGTGGTTGGAGATTTTCTTATTTTCTCCCAACCCCATTTTTTCAAAGTGTTTTTGTTTAAAGATAAGAGCCATTCCAAGTGGCCTTTAAATAAAATTCTTTTAAAAAGCATTTCAATCCCCCCCTTGAAATTTCACCCCCTGGAGCTTCAACCACCCCTTGCTGACCTTTGAACTATAGTATGTGTTTGTGGGTGGCGCTGTGGGTAAAACCTCAGCGCCTAGGACTTGCCGATCACATGGTTGGCGGTTCGAATCCCCGCGGCGGGGTGCGCTCCCGTTGCTCGGTCCCAGCGCCTGCCAACCTAGCAGTTCGAAAGCACCCCCGGGTGCAAGTAGATAAATAGGGACCGCTTACTGGCGGGAAGGTAAACGGCGTTCCGTGTGCTGCGCTGGCTCGCCAGATGCAGCTTTGTCACACTGGCCACGTGACCCGGAAGTGTCTGCGGACAGCACTGGCTCCCAGCCTCTAGAGTGAGATGAGCGCACAACCCTAGAGTCTGTCAAGACTGGCCCGTACGGGCAGGAGTACCTTTACCTTTTACTATGTGTTTGTGGGAGGGGTTATTGGTATGCTTTTTTTTATTACCATATTTTTTGCTCTATAAGACTCAATTTTTTCCCTCCTAAAAAGGGGAAATGTGTGTGCGTCTTATGGAGCAAATGCAGGCTGCGCAGCTATCCCAGAAGCCAGAACAGCAAGAGGGATTGCTGCTTTCACTGCGCAGCGATCCCTCTTGCTGTTCTGGCTTCTGAGATTCAGAATATTTTTTTTCTTGTTTTCCTCCTCCAAAAACTAGGTGCGTCTTATGGTCTGATGTGTCTTATAGAGTGAAAAATACGGTATGTATTTTGTGTTCTCATTTTGAAATGAAGTCGCTCCAGCTCTTTGGTGATTCTGATTATTTTCTGCACCTTTTCCAGCTCAACAATATCCAAACCACGCAAGACCCCGTGCAGACCTCATAATCCTTCTTTCAGCATCAGTAAGGGGAGGGCAGAGACAGGGCCAGGCGGGTCTTCCACCTGGGCTGGTTGTAAGGAAGGAGGCAGGCAGGTGGGGGTTGGCTGAGGGCAGGTGGATGTCAGTGGGGCAGTGCCCCATTTCCCCTAATGGAACAGCCACTTGACACATTCCCCCTCTACAGGGAAAGCAATCTTTAGGCGTCCTGCGTATTGTCCGAAGAGCTGGTCAAGCAAAGAGTACACTGATGGGGCAGTGAAGACTGCCATTCATGAATTGCTCGGCCAGTGTCCTTGCAGGAAAAAGGGTACCTGGATGCCTGGTTTCAACCATATGAATGACCAGGCAGTGGTGAAGTACCGTATTTTTCGCCCTATAGGACGCACTTTTTCCCCCTCCAAAAATGAAGGGTAAATGTGTGTGCGTCCTATGGGGCGAATGCAGGCTTTCACTGAAGCCTGGAGAGCGAGAGGGGTCGGTGTGCACCGACCCCTCTCGCTCTCCAGGCTTCAGGAAGCTCTCCGTAAGCCTTGGGAGCCCGGCGCGACTTCCCCGCGCCGGGGGGGGGATAAAATTTTTTTTCTTTATTTTTCTCCCCCCCCAAACTAGGTGCGCCCTATGGGTCGGTGCGCCCTATAGGGCGAAAAATACGGTATATGCACCAGCCTCCCAGGGTTGGCGCATGGGGCATGCCCCCATGGGTGTGGAGGGAGCCCGCTGCTCCCAGCCTGGTTGTGTGGGCTAGAACACTGCCTGGGCAATGCTGCTGTTGCCTCTCCTCTCGCCTCCCCCCTGCCAGTCACGCTTGACCCAGGAGTGGAGCCCCTGGCTGGGGCTCAGCTGTTCATCGGGGTCGAGGGCTGGGCGAGCAGAGGGTGGAGAGCACCCAGTGCGCCTTGCCTAGCTCTTGCCGCCAAGGGGCGGGCGTCAGCATCCTGGGTGGGAGCAGGAGGGTGCTCTTCAACACTTCCGGCACAAGGTTGCCATGCACCCGGGTTTTTCGGACAATTTGCCCATTTTAGAAAATTCCGCCTGGATGCTATTTTTGACAGATGAATCGAGGCCATGTCTGGGAAATTCCAGGCATAAGGCAGACCTGCAATTACTGAATATAGATCGCTGGTATAATATAGTCTGGCAAAGAGCCACAATGGAAAAATTGTCAAAAATTGAAGGTGGCAGAAAAAACATACCTGTGTGGTATGAACTTATTACTTATACAAATGAAACAAGACAGGGATGAGAAACAGCTACAAGTTATACTGCAATATGGCAGAGATAAGCAGGCAATATTCTTTAGTTATCTCCTACTATTCTGTGTTTTCCAAACTGATTGACTGAATACTCCATTGAACTGCTTTAGTGTCATCACTTCATTATTTTGTACTGTAAAATAAAATGTTTTGCATTAACCCACTAGTGACCCGTTTTTTGTTAGTCTTGGCATGTTTTATGTTTGCACAAAGAAGTGATAATTAAAAAAAAAACACACCTTAAAATCAACGACAACTCCCA